TTCTCCACCCGATAATCCCCCAAACAAGTTTTATCGTTTGTGTTTAGCCGGCACTCAGCTGTTCGTTATCAGACGGGCGGGTCGTCTTATCATCAGGAAGCGCGACACTTCATTATAATATAATTATTTATAGTGATCGTGTTGTGTGAACATAATTATTCGAATTATAATACACTGTGATTGTTCTTCGAGTGACCGAAGTGCATGCAAGTCTATTTTCGGCGTCCTCATAATGTTTCACCTACTTGTAAACGAGGTAAATAAACAAAAACATAGCTTTTAATCCATCGTATTTGTCGAAATATATTATGTAGTTCAACTGATAGTATTATTGTTATTTATTTTGATTATACATAGTTATCAAACATTTTATTTGAGAGACCTGTTTGTGAAATGAATAACAATAATATTATAATAGGTAATTAAAAGATTTCTGTCAATAAATAAAAGTTGGAATAAATTTAAAATATTAATCAGAGTAGGTATCTGTTCAGATCGAAGATGTGGATATAATATAATTCTTATTAAAACCTTCAAGCCTCTATATAGGTTTAAATTGCTGTTATCGGCCAGTAACATTCTAAGATATTGTTTTCTTAAAAAAAAGAAGGTATTTTCAGACTCTATATAGGTTTTAAATGCTTTTATCAGCCAGTAACATTCTAAGATATTGTTTCTTAAAAAAGGTATTCTTAGACTCTATATAGGTTTTAATTGCTTTTATCAGCCAGTAACATTCTAAGATATTGTTTTCTTAAAAAAGGTATTCTTAGGCTCTATATAGGTTTTAATTGCTTTTATCAGCCAGTAACATTCTAAGATATTGTTTTCTTAAAAAAGGTATTCTTAGACTCTATATAGGTTTTAATTGCTTTTATCAGCCAGTAACATTCTAAGATATTGTTTTCTTAAAAAAGGTATTCTTAGACTCTATATAGGTTTTAATTGCTTTTATCAGCCAGTAACATTCTAAGATATTGTTTTCTTTAATAAAAGCTGTTTTTAGCCTCTTAATAGATTTAAATTGCTTTTATCAGCCAGTAACATTATAAGTCTTTTTTTCCTTAGGCTAATTGGAAGTGAAAAATTCCATTATAAAGGTTGTTATTACTGGAATATATAAATTTGCGTGTCCCGCTAAGAATGACCTACAGAGACAACAAAGAGCAACCACGTGTTGCGAGGTTACGACCCTATCTTCCTCTAAGTGCAGCAGGTAATTGGACGATATCGCCCAATATACATTATGACTGTTGTGGCCATACATTAGGGTGAGACACCAGTTGTTTACACGCTATGTTGGAACAAATATATTTATACAAATATTGCAATTTCATGTTTTTATTGTAATGTCGTAAGGTTAATTTGGCAAAATGATCGTTTACTAGTTTCAGAGGTATGAGCAATGCGGCTCAGTTATCACTAAGCTAATATATATTTACATATTGTAATTTAATATTTAACATTTATTTATACACTTTTTTGCCTTCACTGAAGTAATTTGTTTACAAATGAGACATCGATAGTTGAAATAGTGTGATTGTGAAAATACACACAATCGTTGGTGGGTATAAATCGGGTCCAGCCACCCTTTATGAGGAAAGGATTTCACTCAAGAAGTATATGGGGTCACTGTTTCCTCAGTCGCCATGCATGCTCTGCACATTGCACTCTCTGTGGCATTTATAGCAAAGGGGTTTGTCCAGTACCGACTATTGATGGCGGAGAATACCTGCTAGGACTTCTTAAGTGGGAAAGCTTCTTCACAAATCACAGACTGAGCGAGGTTACCGGCGCCTAAACCTCCTTCTCCCCTTACCCTCATTCTGAGGCGGGGGGCTTATGGGCTTATGACTCTTTAGCTGCAGGTATCCACTGCCAGCGTTAGTCACTTACCATCAGGTAGTATGCCTGCTTGTTTGACCTTCTACACCAATAAAATACGTTTTAATATAGTTTGATGTTTGAATAGGACTGTCCGGTGCGGAGTCAAACGTGTGGTGTCACAGTAGTAAAGCAATCGCACTTGTATGTTCGGGCGGTGACGCACGCGGGGGTCAACAACTCGCCCCTCGGGACAATAGGGTTGCCACTTGTTCAAATATTAATAATAATGTTCATTGAGATGCCGGAGCTACCTAAAGTTTGACAGCAAACCGCAGTTAATAACATTGTTTTAATAAACAAGATGTCGTTATTAGCTATTTGTATTATAATCTTCATAATAATAAATGGATGCACGGATGGCGTAGTGGTTTAAGCGGTCGCCACGCCGCTTCGGACTATGCTGAGTGTTATGGGTTCGATCTCCACATGGGACGACACTTTGAGTGATCCACAAATTGTTGTTCTGTATCTGGGTGTTCTTTGTGTAAGTTTCATGTATGTTTGTAAAGTCCCCCGCGACACAGGATATATTCCTAATGAGGGAGTAGTAAAAAAAAACCTTTTTTACTGTACAGGGGACAAAGAAGCACACTGGACCCCTGATACCTGGTTGTATGGGGATTGTACCTCAGGTTACTTACGTTTATCACTGGATGAAAAGCCTTTTGGGGAATTCCTTAACACCAGTTTTCTCTGAGGCCGTGATATCATCGAGCCTGGCCCTTTGAACCGAAGGCTCTCCCACGATGTTTTGTTCCTTATATAATAAATATAGTTGTGAATGTAAAGTGTTTCGTTGACAGCTATCAGAAGCTTTAAACATAAGACTAAGCTACAGATGGTGGTACTGATCTTCTTTATGCTGCTTTCTTTATCATTTTTATCATCGGTATCATCTCTAAAAAAAAGATACATTTTGTAAATATTAATTTCATCATCATCATCAACAGCCTTTATTAAGTGGTTAATAATAAATGTAAATATTAATTTGTGAACTTAATTTCTTTTTTTTTGTAAAAGTTATCAACCATGTGTAGTGACGGATTAAGAATACGTAATGTCACTACCCCAATTCATACCGTGGGTGTCGTAAGAGCCGACTAAGGGTGCAAAACAATGCAGGACACCAGCACTGCAAAAAGAAGGAAAACTTGACACAAACCTTATACCAACCCGTCTGGCCAGCGTGGTATAGTAGGCCAAAACCTCAATTCTAAGGAGAGGCCTATGTCCAGCAGTGGACTATAAAAGGCTGTTGATGATGATGATGATCAACCACGTGATATCAGTAGATAGCAGATAGTGATATAGCCGCACGTAAAAGTGAGAACATAGGCTTCTTTGGAAGGAATATTTATTAATTGAAACACTTAATAGCCCTCTTCTAGGGACTTTTCCAGTCACATCGTAAACATAAGAGTACGTGAACTCTACCACTTTGAAAACTCCCTCCTATCGTATCCGTTTGCCTTACCATTACTTCAATTTATCTTATCCTTAGAAGGGTTTGCGTCAGGCAAGTCGCCTGTCGACAAAAGTCAATGGAAAGTCTTTGCAATATTACATATCACGTATACCTCAAACAAAATTATATAAATGAAATTTAAAATGATGATTTATGATGTCTGAGGTTAGTGATTTTATTATTGAAAACGCAACAGCACTTTTCGGTCTGTTGATATTATATTTTATATTCCGCCATTAAAATATCAACCCTAATTCATTGTCTAAGTAATAAAAGTAAACGCTTATAAGTAGAATACCAAGTCGACACCCCTACCGTCGTAGGTACCTTTGTTCCCCGACACATTAAAAACGTAATCAATTAGTCCACATTGGGCTTCAAAACCAACTCCGTCAATGTTGTTAAAAGGCGACTAATATAAAATAATGTGTTTTGATGTTTAATGTCATATGTCGGTTGTTTATATTTGGGACTGATGTGGCAAAACGTCGTTCAGAAAGTTCTTGTTCTCATGATAAGCCTACTCCAGGCAGAAACGCCATCGGACAAACAAATCGAATATATTCTTGTGTAGACTAGTTTTACACTTTTGCTATTCGTTCTATCACGTTCTGAGATATATAGTTATTAATTCTCAAATCATATACCAACCCGTCTGACCAGCGTGGTAAAGTAGGCCAAAACCTCTTTTCTAAGGAGAGTCCTATGTTCAGCAGAGGGCTAGTAAAGGCTGTTGATGATTGATGAATTATAGAGAGCCCCCTAAATATTTCAATATTGCATCATGTGGACTATGAAAAATGCTGAAAGTCAAACAGTATTGGTTGCTTCACCCATGGTTTACTTAAAAGTGTGTCACGTGTTCGCTTGTATAAAAACGATTATCATTTTTGTGTTAGACCCAAGAGTTTATCTCTACTATAGTGGTGTGTAACACTTTTAGTGCGATGGCTTTTGTAAATGACATAGATTCTAACAAAAATTTATACATTGATTAAGGCAATCCGGGTTTATTCTAGTTTCAATGCCTGTTTCGGACCCGACAGCGGACCTTTATCAAGAAGTGAGGCGTTGTACCGCGTTGTTTGTAGCTAGGACGGTAGGTGATTAGACTGTATAGATCTAGACCTACTCTATAATGGCCGTATTCAGATGCATATTTACCTTTAATTGTTTAATTCATTTTTAATGTATTTTCTACCACAAGCGTCATCTTCGTCATTCATGAGGCCCATTTTCATTCCTCTTTAATGACGACGTTGAGTTGGATGTCTTTATTCTGTTATGAAACATTCGGTTTTGATTACTACTTCCATGCTGTAGAATTGTCTTTTTTAAATAAATAGAAAAAAACGGCTCAGCTTTCGAGGACTAACAGGGTTACGACCCCACGGCGACCAAAAATGCTGGATTATTAATATCATTATGACCATATCTATATCTCTCAACAAATCAATACTAATAGGCACACAATGTAACATTGTTATTTTACTTATCGCTGAATCAACATCATTAAAACAATTGCTTTCCGCTTAGCAATAATTGTATATTCAAAACCGTTTACATGATTTGACGTGTTTAGTGTTAAAAAAATTACTGTTACATATTATTAAACTGTGAATTCCGGTGCAATTATAAAAGGAAGAAAATGCCAATAATGTTTAGCGCGGTCGCCAAAGGCGCTCTCGTATTATCCAAATTTGCATCCTGCAGTGGTAACTTTACAGAAACCATACAACAAATATTACCGATGATACCGCCTGAAGATAAAAAGACCACCTACTCCACTGGTGGCTTCTTATTCCAGTATGTGTCAGAGAATAAACTGGTGTACTTCTGTATCACAGACGACAAGTTTCCCTATCCGAGAGCATTCTCATTTTTAGACGAAGTCAAAGGGAAGGACTACCAGCTGTGGCAGTTCCATATGCAGCAGTTAATCAAATAGATGGTGGTGCATTTGACAGAGTGCTTCAGACCGAAATGACAAAGTACAATGAAAATAAGAAGACTCTACCAAACATCAAAGCGGATTTGGAGGACCTGAAGAACATTATGGTGCAAAATGTTGACAAAATGACACTCAGAGGGGAACGGTTAGAGAATTTGGTGGATAGAACAGATGTTTTGGCTTCAAGCACTACTGTATACAGGAGTACGGCAGTACAAGTTCAACGTAAATATTGGTGGCAGAATATCAGGATGCAAATAATAATGGTGTCCGTTTTAGCTGTTTTGGTGTATTTTTGTGGAGCCGCGGCGTGCGGCGGACTGAAATGGCCAAAGTGTATTTAGCTCTGTCGATATTTAAGTACAGTTTTATCCTTTTGGCATGCGTTAGTCATCGCTTTGGCAATGCGTAGTATAGAGAGAGAAAGAGAGACTCGAGGCTAATAGAAGAAATAGAGGAAAAGGTCTGCGTATACATATTTAGATACAGTGTAAATACTAGTTGCAGTGTGACATACTGTTTAGAACTTATTATATAAAACGGTGTAAACATTTTGTCCAGTTTTATTGTTTTATCAAATTGCTATGCAGAGTTTATCCATTTAGCAATTTGATCTACGATTTTGCCATGTTTTTTCCATAGGTCAAACTCGACTAAGCATTTCCAAAACTACCTACTTTCTCACACGTTGTTGGGTATCGCAATCGATCTTCTAACAGCAGAATTTAACCTTGTAATCACAAATATAATTGATTTAACACAAAATTACCAAAGTAGATTTTTACATTTAATTGCGCTGCGACACTTATTGCCAACTTTCATATCAATTGATTTATTTTTTAATTATTATTGTTTTTTTTTAAAGGCTTACTAGCAAGCGAAATTGCTTGTATTCCCGTTAACCCCTCCAGCTAAGCTAAATTGCTTGTGTTAGGACTGGGTTGACGCCGGTAATGTACTGGTCAGGAATCGAACCCACGACCTCTTGATTGTAAGTTCTAAAAAAAAGACTGTGTCGACTCTTTAGATTAGCTTAATTTTTTGTTGAAAAAGAAAAGTCTCTGTTAAACGGTTTGATTCCTGTTAAATAGTTAAAAGTCAATTTGTGTATATTTATTTGGTATAGAAATTAATTATTATGTTAACATAGTTTTTAAAATCCAGTCACTGACGGGTATCTTATCTTTAGATTTTTTTATTCAACTGCAATCTCGTAGATAATGCAATATGCAAATATTTTTAAGTAGTAAAATTATTATACATAATTTCTCGGATATTTTTAGTAATTATAATTATCTGTACTATATTATCTGTGCTGTTAAAAACTAAGTTCAGTTACTTAGCAAAAATCGAAAATAATATTCTCTTTTTACTCATACTATAGTTCGTTTTTCTCGCAGATCTATAGTACAGGAGCAATTTCATTAAAAGGGTCGTAAGTGTGTTGTCGGCGAGCGCGCGACGTTTGATTTGATATAAGAATGCGCCCGGTGCTAGAATTAGCCGCCACAGGGCACCAACCCATTCACCGACAGGTTGATTCTGTCAGCCATCAACTAAAAAGCTAAGCTTATCAGCTATAAGCTAACTTTATCATATTTATTGTAATCTAGTCTAGTATTATCTATGTATGATACAGATATTTACATAAATTTATTAAATAAATACTACAATTGCAAAGGTCCTTGACCTCTTGACAGATTGATTGGAACCGCTCTCGCCGTTCTGTGGGTGCATAATGCAGTTTATTTATAGGTTTATATAAATGGAGAACGTTCAAGACATAAAAGTGTCCATCCGGAAGAGATCAACGATATTTATAAACACTTTGAACAACAGTGTTTTTTAGTAGACACACCACATACTTCTGGCACCTGCATTGCCGCGATAGCGTCTCCCAAAGCCGGAGATACCAAGGGATTTTTCACTTCGTCGCCAAAAAATGGATGTCCGATCGAAATATTTTATAAAACTATTATATTTTATAATAAAGTAGTTTTTATTCTCATAGTTTTCGTTTTCGTTTTATAGATAAGTACCTTTACAAAATACATAGGTATAGCTCCTGTTGTTCCTACCTACTGTTCTGTTTTCTTAAAATTAAAATTGTAACTGGTCGTATCGAAATTGTTTAACCTTGAGAGAAGAAAGCTGCCAAACAAACTTGCAAACACTCCGGTTAAATCTCCAGATGTGTAAAAAATGTTTGGTACACCGTATTACAATATTGTTTTGTTTGCCATCATGTTCTATGGTAGAGGTAGGCATTCACCACAATGCCTGCGCCTCATGCCGCCCTGAGTGTGGCCGCGGGTGGACGGGGTGGGTTTCCCCTCCACCCGCATTAGTTTGGCCAGCCGCGAGGGGGCGGCGTCCGCATGTGCCGGACGTCGCCTAAAGAGAGGAAAATTTTGAGACGGGGCCCGCAATAGGAGCGGGCCGGCGCTAGGAGGGGTCCAGAAGGCGATAACTACCTGGACCCCTCCTAAACTGGAAGCGCAAAGAGGGCACACCGTGTGGTTTTAGTCGGTTCGAGTCCGACACACCACCCCGCCGCAAACCCCGGTGGGGTGACGGTCCGAGGGGATTTCCACACGTTAAAAAAAAAAAAACGGCATTCACCACAATGCTTCCAACCTGTAATTTGAAACTATCACAGGTTGGATGTATTGTACGATATTAATAAAGTTTTTATCCGTACCATTAAGTACTAATTAGAAAACGTTTCGTATGTGGGTATGTGGGGCTGTAGACAACAATTTATCATTTTCCATATCACTTACGCCTATGTATTTCGTTTTTGTGTGTATGTTTCAGTGTTATTCAAATATATTATTTCCTTTATAATAATTGTTGTAATTAATAATAGTTCCAAAGGAAGTTCCAGGATTTAAAATACACATTTCCTTTACATATTTAATGCTTCCTTGTCTTTTAATAGCGAGGATAGGTCGCCATGTGTCGCTATTATTGTACGATAGTTAATTTGCTGACCACAAGAAGTAAAAAATAATACTACATAATAAATGAGTTTTAGCCTCAGGATTCGCGTTCGTTCTTGTCTCATGAACAGAACTATCTGACGGATGAGAAGTAAACAATGTCTTTTCATTTATCCACCATAATGTAGAGTTGATTGTTGTGATAACAAACAAATAAACAACCAGTCTGTAGACAAAATTGTCGCCTGCAATATTGCCGGACCAATAACACTTTCAGACTCTCAATAAAACAGCGTACTCACACTCAAAAGTTTCAATGTACTGGTGACTTTTAAGTTGTAGGTGTCTAATAGGCGATAGTCCATCTGACTGAATAGTCACGTACATCAGGTGACCCATTTGCTCATTTTCCCCCTTTTTTTCTGTGCGGAAATCGCCTCGGATATTACCCACCGGTGAGATGGTTATGTCGGACTCGATCCGACCAAATACCGCACGCTGTCTCGGGTACCAATTGCCGGGGAACCAGGTGTACCCTAGAAAGTAAATCCCTGGTACCCTGACATACCTCGGGCCATCTACGGCGTGTAGATGACCCTCTCCTGTGTAGGAAACCCTATATCCCCTTTGTGCTCCCGAAACGACGAGCGCGCCACATTGCGTCTCGCCACCACCCCGGCCTGCTTCTGCTAGGGTGACAGATGGTCTCACCTACCACCCCTGGGCCTGCAAAATGAACTTACATTCGCTTATACATTTAACTAACTTATGCTTGTACTGTACTTTAACTGTAGATGTTACAATCAATTTTTACGCGTTAAAAGTATAGCCTGTATCCATTCCAGATTATATTTTATCTCTGTGCCAATTTTCCTCCGAATCCCTTTAGCCATTCTGGTAGTTTTTTATGCTACAGGGGGCAAATGAACACACATGTTACCTGATGGTAAGTGACTACTGCCACCCATGGACACTTGCAACCCAAAAGTCACAAGTGCGTTGGAACCCCCCAGGCCCTCTACCTAGAATTAGGGGAGGGTTTGAGCTCCGGTAACCTCAGTCCCTCGGTGAAAAGCAACGAAGAAACTGCTTACAACTGGTTTTCTTTTAGTCTCGAGGCATAGTTCTCCCACGATAGGGATATTTCATAATCAGGGATTCCCAAAGTGGTCGATATCGACCCCTTGGGGCCGAAATCGGTTTCCAAGGGTTGACATAAACGAAAACTGATTTTGGGGGTTAATGAGGTCTAAAAGTCGACCCCTGTTAATTAACACAAGTTCTTATTTAAATTAATTGAAAACTTTTAAGATACTGTATTAGTTGTGTTACGTATACCAACTTATAAGTGACTAATATTTTAATAGGAAGTATCATTGTTGTACTTTAAAAAAACTCAATAAGTCAATAAGCGTGTAGTAAATTTTCTATGGGGGTCTAAGGTATCAGTTCATGTTAGAGAAGGGGTATCTTGCCTAAAATTGTTTAGGAATGCCTGATCTACATTATTACTATACCCTTACTAGTAGTAACGTAACAATCACAAGTGAATACACACAAGAGATTTACCATTGACTGATAACGCTATAATCGTTCCAATAAATCATTCTTCTCCAGCACATGGCGGCCATTATTCGAGATATGAGTATATTAATATTAACGACACGATGGGAATGTTTTACTTTATGGGGCGTTTATTCCTATAAGACTATCGCCATGATAACGAGGCTAGGTATATGTAGATAGTAATGAATGAACCATGAAGGAGGCGCTGTTTAAATCATTTATATAATATTACTATTACAAAATATATATATTTTTTAAACACGCTTGTATTATCTATATATATGTATAAGTTTATTTTTTCACCATAATTACAGGATTTACATAGAGATACATATTGAACGAAAATGACTATGAAATGAAATGAAAGTACTATGGTGGGTTGATACCTGAACTAGGAATGTTCCTGTATCTCAAGTTATCAACCCTCCACCTCCATATACACAGCTGTCTTATATCTAAAGAAGAACCTTAAAATTTATTTACATACGAATCACTAGTTTATTAGGTATACAATAAAAATATGCCAATAGCAATACTTCGTTCGTTTTGTGGCATGGCACCAAAGTAATTACCAAGACAAATCAAATGAGCCCGAACTCGATGGGTTTATCTTGGTTAGTTAAAAAGCTCCTATAACCGTTTATTGGCTCCATTATCAGAACAGCTCTACAGTAACATATGATTGTATTGTCACTAAAGATACATAGGTACACCTAATTTGACCAATCGGATATCGAGAAGTGGTTGTAATGTAGCTTCCAAGATTTGTGCTGAACACACATACATACAAGCACAGCACGTTTAATAAAAGCTTGCACAATAGGTTTCATACAAAT